TAGAAGAATCAAGGCAATGAATTTTTCGAATTGAGCGAGGATTACTTACGGGATTGGGTTGGCTTTATACTGGAAGTGAGATGCTGAATATGCCTAGTGGCGAAAAAAGCATAAAAATTTTGAAACGCGCAAAATTGGGCACTTTCTCTGCCGTTGTCACCCGCTGATAATGCACCAGCTAGTAACCAACTTAAGAGTCGCTTTGCACATGTGAACGATAGCACATCATACGAGCAAAAAAGGCCAGGGATCAATTGGACGCATTATAGAATGTTAGGGCAGACGCGTTCGAAGTGGATGATCTCACCAAAATGAATCGAACAACGGTGCCTGACGGAGCGCGAAGCAACAGGCGGTGGCGGACTCCAGAAAAGGGAAAAAAAGAAAAAAAAAAAAAAAAATCCAAAATATAAAATAGAAAAATAAAAGATAAAAGAACAACAAAAAAAGAAAAAAGAGATGTAAAATATAAAATAATAAAAAATAAAATCAAAAAAAGAAATCAATATCCTGGCGGTGGAAGCCAGGGCTTTCTGCAAACTAAGCGCACCTTTTAGCCGCGCTGAGGCACATCTGGGTTCTTTTAGGGATCCTGGTTACTGCTCACACTGGTGCGCTCCTTAAGGCTGCCCTTATCATAGTTCGCCATCGGTGCGGTCGCGTGCGACGCACCGTCCGCACCGACCGCCAACGGACGTAGTGTTAAGAGCGTCAACACGGCGCTCTGGCCGCATGACGCGGGGCGCTTGGAGCGCAGATGGGCGCTCGGCCGTAATCTGGGTTTGGTGTAATTTCTTGTATTTTTTCGATGTTTTTTGCCACTCACTTCATATGAATAAACAACTGTCATGACCACAGCACCGTTTTATTGTTTGTTTTTTTTTTTTGTTTCTTAGGGCCCATTCAGCCCGGAGTTGTGCGACGGGTTGCACGATGTCGCTCGCCCGCGCTGAACAACTGCGAAAGTATAATCAAGACATAAAAGGCGCAATGCTGGTCGGAGGGGGGCGGCAGCCGCCGCGCGGGCGTTGCGGACAGGAAATTCGCAGAGAGGGGAGTTGTAGCCAATTCAGGGGGGGGGTGAGTGTGAGGGCAGGTCACTTTAGCATGCGTGAGAAGCTGAAATGTCCCGCTGAAAAGCTTGCGAATGCTCGCATTACACTACATTTCGCTGTTAGCGCGCACAGAATATCCCACCCCCGAGCGCACATTTGCGCCCTAAAAGAATAATATGAACAGGAAACACGACGAATTTAAAGCAACAGCGGCGCGAAAATACATCGAAAGGCACAAGAAATTACACCAAAACCAGGATTATGATCGGAGCACGCGATCTGCGCCCAACCGTTTCGCGTAGGGCGCCAGCATGTGCGTATTGACGCTCTTCACCTGTGCGGATGCGGTCGGCGCCGTTCGGCGCCGTCCGGCACGGACCGCCACAGATGCCGACTATGAAAGCAGCTAATGGTGCACTAATAGCTTCCTCGTAATCTCTCGCTTTGTATGTACATGCCAAAATTCTCGTTATGAAAAGGTGCAGTGTGGGTAGGTGTAGGTGTCATTTTAGGCTTGCCCCCTCACTAACGAAAAGAACGCTGCTCGGGAGCTGGTGGGCTAGAGGTTGGTCTCGTTTCACTGGATCTTCTCTTTGTTTTGTTTGGAGTTTGCGGGGAACTTAAACAAGAATTTACTTACTAACCGGGTGAGGTAAAGCTAGAACTTTTAACCACTTTGCAAGTTCTGAAGACGACGAGTTTTGTCGAAAGCGTTGACCAACTGAATGGGTTCTTACTATAATAGTGTGTGGACGTCCTTTAATTTGCGCCATTGACGCGTGGAGTGTTCTGTTCCTACGAGAAGTTTATCGTTCATTTGAAGTCGAATTGGGGAAAGCCCTCTAGAGCAGGTGTATGGCATATACGGGTCGCTTCTGAGAACAGCGGCGAGTATACGCGGTCTGTGTTTTGATCGTATGTTAATAGCAGTTGTAGAAGTTACTGCTTGCACGAGACCGGTTACTTACCATGGTAATGATGTGAAGCGTACACGACTTAGCTCGCGAAGACGTGTTTTTTGGTTTTTTATTTTTTTGATAAAGTCGTCGGCAAAAAACACTGCAGGGAGTGGCATATATGGTCAAATTTCCTCTGCTTTCCTAAACCAGCTTCTCTCTCTTTCAACAATCAATAGGTGTGATGTTTCTTATATTATTATTTGTCTTAGTGGTTCCAAGAGGCGAATATCAATGCTCTCGCAGTTAAGTTGGCGTGCTTCCGCAGTCTTCTTTATGAGCTGCATTGATGCTAGCTGTTGTAAGGGCTAGTGTACCGTTTCCCTCCTTGTCTTCGGCGGGCCCTGGCATTCGATTTGTTGTCGTAGGACACGATTTGAGACACGTGGCAGCGCTTCAAATATGCTGAGGTCAGAAGTATTTTGTCCATTGATGGTTACCTCCGCCGTTAAATCGCGTCATCATCTTTCCGCACGTTCATGCGGGTCCAGCGTCGCTGCTGGAAATCACGATCGCAACATCCGCGCGCAGTAAAAGGGTCCAGCCACGACCGCACCGCTCCTTTTGAACCCTTTAGGGCTGCTTTCATATTCGCATCGGTGCGGTCTGTGCCGAGGCGCCGACCGCCCACCGTAACAGTGTGGAAGGGGAGCGTCAATAGCACGCTCCTAGCGCATGACGCCGTGCGCTGGGGCAGATGTGGGGCTCGATCCGATGCCGTTCCAGGCCTTTCGATGGTTTTTTTTGCGCGCCGTGTTCATTCATTCGTGTGTTTTCTGTTCAATACCGTTTCTTTCCATGCTCTTGATTAATACTTTTCAGCTTTCACGGACTTCGTTGAAGCCCGATCGTCAACTACCCGAGGCTATACTGGGTGAGTTCATTATAAGTAATTTTGTTATTCGAAGTTGGGACTCTATAAATTTATAAATGTTTTGGTCGATACGATTTCCTGCTGGTGTGCGAAGGGCCGCCGGGGGGATCTTGGTAATTTTAATTATTTCGCTCACAGCAGGAATTTTATCAAGAGAATCAAACTGCTGGAAACATACAGTTCCATCGAATAAACAGATTGCTCATGATGAAATCACTTGGTATGAAAGCACTTCACAGGGTTATCACGACGCTCGCCGCGTCCGCGGAATCAACTGAAAAGTAATCATGGAAGACATAAAATAATGTATCAACAGTAAAAACACACGTATAAAAGGAAGAATGAAGTCAGGAAGGGGGCACCACCAAAGCCAGATATCGCATCGGAGAATCGCCATCTGCGCCCACGTACACGTTCGTGGCGCCCAGAGCGGCATATTGACGCTCTTCATCGGTGCGGTCGCGCCGCCGTCGGCACCGACCGCAACCGATGGCCGAACCATGAAAGCAGCTTACGAGGCGCTGGAGCAGGAGTAACACGTGGTGGTAGTGACTGACGTTGCCTCGGACAACGAGCCTGTTCAAAGGGCGAGACGGCCGGCTGACGAAGAACCCCTGCACTCCGGTGTTGCAACACAATGGAGTGTCGCGTGGGCTAAGGGATCGGACTCGGAAGGGACTAGCCATAGTTTCGTTGTGTTGTGACAGGAAGCAGTTCGTCTGGCAGTCCCGGATTAAGGATATATGAGAAACAGGTGCGTAGTGACCTGAGCGAAACGACACAACCACACATCATGTCCAGGATGTTCAAATACGGTCCAACTGCCAATAAGTCGCATCCTGTGAAAGGCGTTGGAGTTGGGTGGATGCGGCCCGACAACGTAGAGGCTGTCATATCCTGAGCTGTTTTAATTATAATCTTTTCAACCCTTATGCTGCTCCAAGCCACACCAAAATTCCTGGAGGCACGAGGTCCGCCTGGCCACTTCCGCTATAAATGAGTAATCACTAGAGTTGTGGGAAAATGGTCAAGTGGTAGAGGGGGCGATTAACCAGTTGCTGGCCTCTTACGTTCAGTGAGTACTCGCGCGTGTTTAATCAGGGTACGATGCGGCGATATGCCGGAAAGCTCCATCAACTCGAGCCAGATCCGTGCCGGTCTGAATGTAGAAGTGTTTCGCTCGTGCCATTGGTTTTGTGCTTAGCACTGGTCTTCGATATTGCTTTTCACGTTGAAGAGGCTGGTGCGTAATACCTGCTGGGAAGGATGTCTCTACATTAGGTTGGGGAATAACAAAATACTGCTTAACTGATTGAGCTCCAATTGAATGCGGTAGCGCGATGCACTATGCTTGTACAAACCATTTGCCAGGTAAGTAGCCGATATGTCTGGCCGTCCATTAAAAGATCGGTAGTGATGGATATGGCTGAGTGGCGAGGCTGTTGGGTCGTCAACCCAAGCAAGTTTACACGGTCACCTAAGGGCGGTGATTGGCATGCGAATTAATTGCGAGTAGGTCTTTGATACCCCATTTCAACCAAGAAGCCTGGGGACAATGATTTGATGTTACCACGCCAGATGTGTAGAAGCAGGAAGGGAGCGAGGGGGCCGACGGGCCATCGTAACGGCGTACCCTTGGTCCGTAATCTGGAAGGTTCTACCACAGTCATAAATTGGCTCCGAGGAGGTGGACCATGAGAAGGCAAACTCCCGGGAATCGCTCAACCAGACATTCTCAACTCGGTGGCCTCTCAACTTACCAACAGGAATAAACTGACATGCTTCTTCTAAACTGGGTGACCAAATCAGGGCTGAACCATCTCGCAACGTACAAGCGCCACCGCGATATTTGCAAGAACTCATGTCCCCCGCTAAAGCGTCAGGGTGATCGTCTCCGTGTCTGGCTATATTGTGGTCGCGAACATCATGCAATTAGTAACCGAGACAGTACGCTGGGTACAACAACCAAAAGGGGCAGAGGGCCAGTCAACAACTAAATCATTAGTTGTACGCCAGATATTGTCAGCTTGCGACATTGTGCCATGCTCACAACGGTGGTGGGTGGCCATCATACGACATTGCTCTAGGCTGACCGCGAGCATCGTTTCGGAGTGACTAATGGAACGGTATCCGAAAAAAATTAACAGGGAAAATAGCGGAGTTAGTTACTATTTTGCACCAATGGGCTGGAGTGGAGTAGCGTCTAGTGTTGGGACGAAAAATATTAAGAGACAAAGAATCAACTGTAGCATTTGTAGATGGCATAATATTCGAACAATTATACGAAAATGGAATGCGAATAATCTGGTCATGAGAGTCAGATGGGCACAGCCAAGCAGAGGTTGCATTGCTCATGCCGAGTAGAGAAAGTGCACACACAGTCAAAAACAAGCAACTCACGGATGGGGAAGAAGAAGATGCAGTTGAAGATGAAAAACCGTGTCCAGGGTGTTGCCCCTGAAACACGCGTTGAGACAGTTTATGATTGCGCTTAATCAAAGCATCTATCCGCAGCTGCTGAAGTTGGGGATCCACATGACCTAGTGACTGTGATGGCGGAGCTCCAAGTCCCGATTCTGTTGGGTCGACTTTCGGACTGGTACCCTGGAAGGCCATCATATGAGGCTGGGAGGATGAACGCGGCTGCTGCGGTGTAAGGGGACGAACCGTGTTGCGTGTTTCCTTGCGAGGAGATGGACATTCTCGCGATCTATGCCCGAAGCCGCCACAATTGAAGCACTTCCCGTCTAAACTCCTTGAGCCACCCGAATAGTTGGTCGCCCGTCGCCGATCCCCCTTAGCTGATTGCGAAAAGGACTGGTCGTAACGTCGTCTGCGGGAAGTGGGTCGGTTTGCTGCGTGTTGGCGCGGACTTAGAGACATACGTCCTACTTGGGCTGAGAGAGCTTGAACCTGCTGACTGTTTAGGTGGGAGGCAGGGTGCATCAACTTGTCGCTGGTAGCCTCAGCCAGAAGCTGTTCTATCATTTGAGCTCGCGCTACAGCTTGTTCGAAGCTGTTAGGGTTTTCAAGACGTACAAAATAGCGTACGTCTCCACGCAAGCGGGCTATGTACTCTTCCAAGATGCGCTCTTTCTGAGCAACCGGGTCCTGCCCGGCTGTAGCTGCTCGAACAAGATTTAAAAGCCTGTTTGCAAACGCAGTGGTAGACGCTGAGGGTCCCTGGTGGCATGTGGAAAGTGCCTGGCGAGCTAAGTGGGTTTGTTGAGGGCTTTCAAAAAAAGACTTAAGGTGGGCTACAATCGCGTCGCCGTCCTTTCGCTGTTCATAACTTAACTCTTCCACTTTTTCGCGCGCCACCCCTTCAAGATGTCCAATTAAGAAGTTGGCCCTTTGTTGTCAGGGGTCCCGTACGCATACGCATTATGTCCTCAATCCTGCGCAACCAAAGCGAGAACTGCGGTGTGTCTTCATCGCCCGAAAAGCAAGCTAGCTTGGGGAATGTTCCTTCGGGTAGGCAGGAGACCATGGTGGGTAGCGTTTGAAACCGATGCCGACAGCTGCGAAGGAGTCGTTTAATTGATGCAGGAGACTCACATTGTTGTCCGAAATTTGCTGTGCCAAAGAGGTCGTCGAGTGACGGGCATCGCGCCAGGCTTCAGTAACAACTGAAGTGGTCGCGTCCCGAAGCTCCTTGGCATCCCTTCCCAGAACAGTGTCGGTATCTCCGAGGTCTACCAAAGTTGCGCGAAGCTCCTCCATGAACTTCGGTGGGGTTAGAGGGGGGTCGCCTACCTCTTGGGTGGACATTTCTTCAGTGAAGTGTGAAGTTGAAGCGCGTGTTTGAGAGCGCGTTGTAGGCCCAGTTGCCCGAGACATACTGTATCCGAGGGTCTTTCGCCTTTTCCAAAATGAGCCGCAGTCAAACTTAACTCAAGAACAATGTAGATACTGTGGGTTCTGTCGAGATACGACAACGGCAACGAATGCTGAAGAAGAACGATAGATGAATCCGCAAACAAATATGTGAGAGAGGGTCCTATATGAACGCTGCGAAGCGGTTATATACGGGGGGAAGGGGGATGTGGCTAGCGGGGGTGCCGAGACATGGTAAGAATTTGAAAAGGCAAGAATCTTACAGCGGAGATCAAAACATCTAAGCCGAAGCTTTTCGCTTTAGCGACAGTCAACATCTGAAGCTGGATGATTTCCCAGCCTCGACCGCTGGAACGTAATGGAACTGTGGGGAAGATGATGATCGTGATAAGGCGAGGAACATGAGGCAAAACATGCTGAATCAGCAGTTTGAATCGCTTTGCGTCGTTCTCATGCATCGTTCCTCGATAACAAAAACGGATGGAGGGTCGCGAAGACAAGAGGAGAACGGTACTCTAGCCCTCACAGCAACTAGCTCTTGCACACATAGAGAACACAACACGAAGCAGCGCAAATTATGCGAGAGCGTTGATCCTTGCCTCTTCAGAAAGGTAAGACAAATAAGCAATACAAGAAACATCACCCCTATGTGATTGTTGAAAGGGAGAGAAGTGAGTATAGGGAGTAGAGGAGACGTATCGGAAAATTAAAATATATCTGCTTCGCAGGAAAATCCCTCAGTCCGTTGTGGGCCAGAATTTCTCAAAAAAGCAAAAAAAAAGTCCGCGGAGAAGTCGTATAACTGCTTTCATCTACATGGTAGAGACGGTTTCTTGAAGGATAATTCCAAACAACTGCTACTCCCATGCGACCCAAAGACAGCGCGTTAGTACTCGCCATGTTTTCTTCTAAAATGCGAACCGTCATGTCTCATTGACCTGCCCTCTAAGGCTTTCCCAAATTCGAAACTGCAATGAAACTGACACCAATACAACTTGACGCGCGCAAAGCAAAGCCGTTTTCCACTACACTGAAATATCCGGAAGACGGATAGTTCGGACTCCGACTATGGACAGGTATTACAGATACTGCGCTTACGGTTTGGCAGACCAGCACGAAGGCTCCCAAAGTGTAGAAGAAACTGTCTGGCGACTGCCCAGATAGGGCCCTGGACCGCTGAAAGGACTGAATAGAGAAAGGAAGAAATGCTAAAAAAATGACTCGCTTGCTCACCAGAAAGTGCGATGTTCCGCAGGATAGAGCTATCAGTGTTATGACTCGCATTACGTGACAGACATGAGAGTGAAAACGGTGGATACGAGAGGATTCGGCAAGAAGGACAGGTCCAGCGGCTCGCAACGTCCCCAGTCGAATGGCGATCTCTTGACTGTCCTCGGTTTTTCCCTCGTTGTTGTCGTATGCGGTTCGTCGCGGTCGTTATCAGTCCTCGAGATCTAAGAAGAGAGAGAGATGAGAGAACTATCAGAGGAATCGATGACAGTACTCTACTAATAGCTACTTCCTTTACAGTATGTATGTATTTGTAATGTATGTATGTATGTATGTATGTATGTTGTATGTATGTATGTATGTATGTATGTATGTATGTATGTATGTATGTATGTTATGTATGTATGTATGTATGTTGTATGTTGTATGTATGTATGTATGTATATGTTGTAATGTATGTATGTATGTATGTTGTATGTATGTGTATGTATGTATTTTGTATGTATGTATGTTGTATTTGTATGTATGGATGTATGTATGTATGTATGTAGTATGTATGTATGTACTTTTTATTGCATGGAGTTGTTTAGAAAATAATTTTACTTTCAAGTCGAACCCTGCACATTGTGAACTAAATTGCTTTGTTCGGTGGGAGCGTTATGCCAGCTCTTCCGTGGGATGTAAACTCAATAAGACCTCAGATCTTGACTTGATCGCTTCATAACAAGTCTTTTTCTGGGTTCAGGGAGGCGGCAGTGAGGAGGTAGGCCTGTGGGCTTAGTTCTGACCATTGAAGGAGCAATTCTACGGACTATTCTTGTACTCAGTCCAACCCATATTTCGCTGGAAACATGGAACCTTCTTTTAGTTGAGAATGTGGAGGATACGGGACGGGTTGATCACCCTTCGAGGTATTTTAGGAGGGCCATTTTTTGTGAGAAAACCTTTTCGTGAATGATCGGTTAATAATGTTTCCGTAGAGAATGAACTACTAAGAAGCAAATTCATTTCCGTATTCCGGATTTTAGGGTTGAAAAAAGGATCTACAATGGGGAAACTGCTTCCTTTGCATATGATCATTTTGAAATTACAATAGTTAAACTAAAGTTAATAAAAATTTGTGAACATTGAAGAATAGGGCTCATAGTGGTGGGGGGAACAAAAAGTTCCCAAACTTTTGACGTGCCATTACTCGAAAAGTCTTATTTCTCTGGCTGATTTTTGGAAACTACTCTACCGGTCGCATTCTGGGCTTGATTTTGTATGAAATGTCTGAATTTTAGACAATTTCGTTTTGTGTTGGCCGCGCTAGAGCAAAAATAAAAAGGTTTTCAAACTTTTGACTGTTTCTGTACGTACCGACATACATACATACTACCGACATGCATGCCGACAAAAATACATAGTACCGACATACATACCGACGCACATACCTACTACCGAAATACATACATGCGAAGAAACCGACACCTCCAGTTAGCGGCTTGTTAAATAGAAGGATAACGCGTATCACGCGGTGATGAGTGTGATCATGAGCTGACCATTAGAACCATTGTGGTGTGCACCGCACGAGCGAGGTACAGTCGATATCCGAAGGTTGGGGTAGGCGTGTCACCCGAAGTGGTGCATTTGATAGAAGCTGCGTGGATAAGCTGCTGCCAGCACGTTTTGCTCATATCCAGCGATCTATGTTGGAACAGCTTATCCACATAGCTTCTATCAAGTGCACGTCATTTCCGGTGACACGCCTAGCCCAACTCTCCGATATCGAGTATATCTCAGTCTTCTTCTCCTAGCGTTAGGCCCGCGCATTCGCAGGGTCCCCTGTTTTTGTCAGTCGCCGCCACTTTGCTCTGTCTAGGGCATCTTCCATCGTGGCCGCGACCTCGCCTGGGTCCTTCTTGATAACGTCTCCCCACCTTTTCTTCGGGGCTCCTCGCGCTCGCTTGCCTTGTACTTTGAAATTCATCGCTGTTCTTATTAGATGGTCCTGTGGCCATTGCAGACGCTGTTCTCGTACCTTAGCTGGACAGTGGCAGTTTGCATGACCGCTCTGACGTCCTCGCTTTTAACCTTGTCTAGCCGCGTCCAGCCGCAGGCCCATCTCAGCATCCTCATTTCGGCAGAGTGGAGCTGCCTTTCCTGATTCTTGTTCAAGGCCCAGCAGTCGCAGACAAAGAGCATCGCAGACCTTGCCACTGTCCGGTACACCTTTCCTTTGAGAGCTCTGCAGCAACTTCGATCGCAGAGGATTTTAGTGGACTCTCTCCATTTCATCCATGTAGCGTTGACCCGAGCCTTCCCCGCATGACCCAGACTACCGTCGGCTGCCAAATCGCTTCCAATATAGCGGAAGTCCTCCACTCTTTCGATGGTCTCACCATAGCCGTCTACTCCTCGGAGCTTAGGAACTTGGCTTACTTGACATTCAACCGGAGCCCGCCTTCTGCCAGGACATTCTGCCATCTCTGCACCTTGGCATAAAGTTCCTCTCTACTATCGGCTATTAAGACGACGCCGTCAGCATAGAGGATAGTCTTTATTGGTACCTCCACTAGCCCCTTCACCAGGCCATCTAGTGTTAGAAGGAAGAGGAACGGGCTCAGAGCTGGCCCTTGGTGCAACCCCGACCGTGGTGGTGTTCATCTCCTTCGTTAGGCCGTATGGGGCGCCTGTAGCTGCCTTGGCTCCTTCGTACATATCCTTCACTAGAGAGATGAGGTGTTCTGGCACGTTTCGTTCCCTAAGCGAACTCCTTAGCACTGCTCGCGGTAGCCGGTCGAACGCCTTTTCTAGGTCGAGGAAGACTAGGTAGCAGAGCCTGTGCTTTCGCGATACTTCTCGATTACTTGCCTAGCGATGAAGATGGCATTCGTTGTATATCTTTCGGGCATGAACCCGAAATGTACCTGGGAGATCTGGACAAGGTCCCGCAGTATTGAGTCGACCAGGCGCTCGTAAAACTTTATGGTATACGCAGTCAACTTGATACCGCGGTAGTTGGAACAGTCCATCGCGTCACCACTCTGGTTGCAGCTGGTACTTGCTCTCCAGGCATCCGGCATCTTTATTTTGTCAGTCACCGTCACCCCGTGCTCTCCAAGGGTCTTCCAAGCCTCTATGGGTACACCATCCGGATCAACTGCACTTCCTACCTTCATCCTCCCAAAAGCACACCGAACCTCATTCTTTGTCCAGAGCGCGATGGGAGCTGGCCTCTGCCCGTGAGTTGTTCTTGTGGGAGAACTCCTTTTCGAGAAGAACTCTGAAGTATTCTTCCCACCTCTTCTGGACTTCGGCTGGCTTCCTCAGTATGGCGCCGTTGCTGCTCTTCACGCTTTTACCACCCTGATATTTTGAGTAGCCCGATGCCGGGCTTTGACCAGTTTGGAGACGAACTTCTCTGCGTTTCTGCTTTCCAACTTCTTGTACGAGGCGTCCATCTCCGTGTTCTTTGCTTCGGCTACGGCGGCTTCAGCGAGCATCTCGCGACTATTGTGGGTAACGAGGTCCTTGGACTCCGGGTCTTCTGCCAGCGGTTGTATGCTTCCTTCGTCTGCTTCACGACACGCTGGACCTCCTCGTTCCAGAACCACGCTGCCTTGTCCCCTCTTATACCACCTCGCGCCTCCGATGTGATGTGAGCCGCAATGCCCCAATTCCGCTGCAGTGGTCCCTCAGCATCAGGGAGACCAACTTCCACTATCCTTCGCTTGAGGTCTCTCTTCTCTGCACGGTGCGACTTCCACCAGCGAATTTTCCTCTCGTTTCCT